GCGGGCTCCAGGTTTCTTTAGGAGCCGTCTTTCGCAACTGTTTGTTTGGATTTTGCTATTTTCCGAAGGTCAGATCGCAGACAAAGGCGTTCGCTCTCAGCGATGAATGGTTGTCCAACTCTGTTTGGTTTGCCTAGTTTTAAATGCCATGGTCAATTGTATTGTCTTTTGGTTGGGTTTGAAAGATGCGGCAGAGGTCTAAGGCAAGTCTTGCTGCGACGGTTTTTGTCCAAGCGAGTTTACTGGAGTGAGGTCATCTCTCTGTGTGGTCTCCGTCAGTGGCTATCGGAGGATCTTTAGTCACGTCTGCCATGGAAGTATTTGAGTATTCCCACAGACGGTGCTAATTGGTGGAGCAGTAGTTTGGAAATACTCTTCAAATCCTGGAGACGCTAATGATCCTCAACACTCAAACTGAAAAAGATACAAAACACTGCCGGTCGGAGGTGCCGGAATTAAGCACTCCGATTGGCAAGTAAATTTAAGAGCACTCAAGGAAAGCTTGTTTACTAAGTTAAGTGAAATAATTCTTACTTACATTTCTTCTAAATCTTGTGGTTCTTTATTATACTTGCTTTTTGAGCCTCGGGGCCTGAGCTATTTTTTAATACCCACTCCCCTTTTATTTATTTCGGAGGCTACCGGTCTCCGGCTATTCGGCCTTCTACGTATTTGGATCCTGAGTCCGCCAATATGGAGCCGGATAATATCTAATTTCTGGAGTACACCTTCCCGACTCTTCCTATTTATTCAGCCCCAACAACCCTTATACAAACTCGGTGGAGTCATGTTTTTTTTTTCACAGAATTAAGGAGTTCGAATGATTATCCTAACTTAAAAATAGATGTTTTCCTAACATAGTAAGGGAGCTACCTGGAATACAGTTGCAAAAAAGAGGCCTATTCCAGCCTGCTGACGGCCAACATATTGTACAGCCTAAATACAATATTTTTGGAGGAAATTACTTATATAAAGTATTATGAGTATCCCAGAAAATCCACTTTAAAAAAACATATGGAGTCAAATGATACACCCTTGCTTGAGTTACACCTAAATAACAATATTTTGGAGGAAATTACTTATATACAAGTATTATAGAATCCCAGAAAAAATCACTTTCAAAAAACTATATGGAGTCCCAAATGATACACCTTGGCTTGAGTTTACTAAACAATCACTTACATATAACAAACTTACATATTTTTAGGCACTACATTGAAAATAAGAAGGGAAAACCGCTCTTTGCTTTTTCAAATGGTAGTATTATCCCTGGAAGGGTTTAAAAAGAAAATAAATAATAAAACTGAAGGGGAATTAACAGTAAGCAAAAATAGTAGTTTATTCTCAATTTTCTGAATAATAAAAAATATCTACATACTAACATTTATGCATAAATAATATAAAAAAATATATTTTTTTAAATTTAGTCCTCCTTCCAATCTAATTATGTAACAGATTGTAATTTAAGCATTGGAGTCTAAATTAAAAATAAATTTATTATTTAATTGTTCTTTAAGTCTTGGAGACAAGTTGACACAATTTAAATATTGTAGAAGAAAATTGAACCACTTCCCATGTTATAATTGAACCGTTAACTTTTCGTGGCATACAAAAAAATAGATCGATTAGATACTTAAGTATCATATGAATCAAAATCCAGACATATATATTATAATATTTTTAAAAACCCATATAAGCCATACGGATAAAATAGTCTAATATTATGACAACCAATATGGATCAATTTGGATTTTATTTGGCATGGATAATTTTCTTAATTAGTTGTACAACTGAACAGTTTAAAGTATCGAAGTGAGTCCAAGTTAGTTCGATAAATAGATCAAACTCAACGCAATAAAGGTAAAGATCTTTAACTTTGGTAATTTAAACTCCTATAACATTGGGGACCCAAATTACACAATTAAACTTTGGATTATTTGGAGGACTAAATTGAAAATACTTTTTATACATTGGACATCAAAATTGACACAATTTAAAAAACTAAATCGCAAATTGAAACATTTTTTAAGTATTGGGGACCAAATTAACACAATTTAAAGTATTGAGGTACTAAAATGATATAAGGATCATTACTTTGAATACTTACAATGCTAAAGATCAAGAAACCACAAAAAATTACAATGAAAAAATATGGAAAATTTTTATATCAAGTGTAATATTTTTAAAAAGTAATTATAAATTAGTAATAATTTAATAAATATTAATATTAAATTCTTAAACTTTTTCATCAAAATTTGCAATAATTTTATAAAAATACGACAGAGTGATAATTTCCTCTAAAACATGTGTAGCCATATTCAAACATTTGTATTTGTAAATCTCATATTTGAAATGAATTTTAGAACCAGACCATTTTTTTTTGTTGATGATATTTTTGTGAGATTAGTTTTCTTGATCTCTAACATTGCTGTAAAAATTTTATATACAACATCGGCATGTTAGAAGAAAGAGAAATATTATATGTTATGATGGTATATTCACTTATTCCCTGAAATTCTTAATAATTAACAGGGACTTCGTGGTTTCAAATAATTATGAAACACTCTTTCTTACTTTTGAAACTATTATTAAGATCTCCCAACGTTAATCATCTTTTAGTTCATTTGACATAATATGCTGATATCATGTACTATGAGTAAAATTGAGTAAAAAATTCCAAAGATTGTACGTACATATTCAATAGAAAAATTTTACCTCACCTTCCCCTAAAATTTTACAAAAAAAAAAAAATAATAAAAAAGACCCAAACATTTTTTTTAAATAATATTGAAGAAAATTGATAATTCCTATACAATAAAAATATATATAATTGTTTTAAGAAACATATATCATAGTAGAATAACCAAACATTACATTATCTAAAAATAAAAATAATAAAAAAAGCCAACAAATTAATCACCATCAAACCTTATACTTAAATTAAATACAATCCTTTATTTTTGAAAATTACAAACAAAATATAAAATATGTCAATTTTATTTTTAAAAAGAAGCACCATTTTATGAATACCTATTTGAGAATTGAGTTTGAATAAAATTTAAAATACATATAAGTATTTGAATTTTTTTTTCCCGTATGAAAAATACCTATTTCAAAATTATGCCCTCTTTCCATTTTCTTTATTTATTTCTTTTATTCATCTTTCCATTTATTCTCCATTCATTTTTTTTCATAGTTGTTACTGCCACCAATAGGCAACACCACACTAATTTATTATTTTAATTATTATTATTATTATTATTATTATTTGTCTCTCTCTATGCTATTTCCTCAATTTTTCATCATTTTTTTTTTTTATCTTTCATCAATGTTAGCTAAGCAATCACCTAATACCATAGTAGTTTATGAAACATTAATTTTTCTTTTGTTTGTAAATATTTGTTTATTAATTTTTTAAGAAAAATAACCATAATAACATTTCATATTTATAATAAAAAAATTGACTTATAAATTTACCAAATGCTACCCTCATAAATATATATAGATATTGTTTGGCATATGAAAAAAAAAGTCAATTAATAAATTTTTTTAAAATAAATATAAAAGTGAAAAAATATCAAATCAAACCATTACAATATATTAATAAAATTAGTTGATAGGGAATGGAATAATAAACTATTTAAATTTTAAAATAGAATTTTACTTGAAGAAATAAATAATTGAAAAATAATAAAATACTCAATAATTTGTTATTTATTACTATTAAAATCTATGGTTGTGTGTTTGGTTTGTGTTTTGAAGATAAATTTTCAAAAAAAAAACATTGGGGGAGAAAGTTTAGGGAAAGTTTTTGGCTTGTTTGGTTATATAGTTTGGCAAGGGCTCATTGTGCTTTTTTGGGCTGAGCCTCTCCGTTTGGGAAGTGGGTTGGCTTTTTGGCTTTTTGGCTTTTTTGGCTAAAAGAAAAAATAAAAAATAAATTAGAAAGCAAACCCTTTTCTTCTTGTTCCTATTAGAGGAAGCCATTGAACAAAGCTTCTGGTCTTGTCGAGGATCTTCAGGGTGAATGAGTGGCTAGAATCAAGGCGGGGGTTGCGCCGGTGGTGGTGAAACAATGGGATCGAGGCGACGAGAGGCCGGTCGGGTGTGAGAGAGAAGGGTTTGTAGAAACCCTCAGACAATAGAGAGAGAGAAAAGTGTACAGAGACAAGCAAGAAACACTACCAGTAGAGAGAGTTTATTGACTGATGGTAACCGGTTATTTTTTTAAAAAAAAAATTTAACTTGTTTTAGTTTTGGATGGCTAAGATTTAAAGATTCCAATCTAATTGTTCAAAATTATTTTCATGTATGGTACCCAAATACGACTTTTGTGTACCATAGTCGGACCTCTCTACCGTATTCACAGTTTTATTCTTGCTTAGCCATTAAATTAGTTCAACATTTCAGTTTCCTAGCCTATGCTTTACAAACACAAGGGCACTTTGCTCGATGCATTCAATTGGTTTATATAATTATTTCTAGTGATTGTGATAGATCAGTTCTTTTCAGTATAGTACAGTGGTAACATGTCATCAATTTGTAGCAATTCTAGGATACTGACATGGTTTTCAATATGCAAAGTTCTGTAACCTCTTTTATTCACTGCAGGAAATTCAGCTTTTAGCGGCGTTTAAAAAACGCCGCTATAAGTGTTAAAAACGCCGTTAATTCTTTTTGTGGCACTCAGCACCAAACGTCGAAGATGCGGCCGTCGCTATAACATTGGGGCGCTTTAAAAACGTCGTTAAAACGCCGCTAAATGTGATACATAATGTTACACTGACGTCATGACAATTTTTAGCGACGTTTCAAAACGTCATCATAGCCTTTTTTGGATTTTAAAAATATAACTGTTGACTGTATAGTGACATTTTCAAAAACGCCATTATATCTTTATTTTTTTAATTTATTTGTTTTAAATTGTGCTCATTCTATGTGGTTGAATCAAAAAGTACCTGTAATAAAATTGAAAAATAGTACTAATATGAATCAATAATTCCCGTTCCCATTCAAATGAACATTTGTCAAATACAACATTAATTCACTTTCCCATTCAATTTAATATACAATTACGATTAACTACAAAATAACATATCCATAAATCATGTTTTAACATTCGCCAAAAAATAACAGGAAAAACATTAAGACAAACCCCATGAGTTTTGATTTAATTTAATGTCTTGTCCTTGCTGCTAAATTCACTGAACCCAGTTGATGTAGCATAGAATCTGTCATCTTCATTGGTCCGGATGCCTGCATCAAACTATGGAAGCCAAATCAGGTGATAATTTGCTCCTAAAGGAACAGCTGGTTTTGCTCTCTTCTTTGTAAGAGGGTAAAAAGGTGAGTACCAGCTCCACCCCTCCAAGTATAATTCCCACAACACTCTGTGAAGAATACAAAACCACTTAATCATTCCCTTCCTCAAATCAACTCATTATAAAGATTAAAGTTTTTAAATACCCATAAGCATAAAATTTCACCTTACAAGTTTAAAAAAGAAAGAGCAGAGCAACAAAACCCACATTTGAGACAAATGATTAAAAACTTACAGAAACTTACACCTAGAAGTTTTGCACCTCAATTGAGACAAATGATTAGAAACTTCAAAATGATCAACCTAGATGGGACTGCATTCACACACACACATATATCTTGGTGGACTTTCTTCCATTAGAAACCACTCTTCTAGGTATTCTTTCAAGATAAATCTATAAATAATTTTTTTTAATTAAAAAAAACCCATTTATTAACTAACAGAGGTAAATTCCATCCAATACCATTCATTAAATTGAACCCAAAATCAAACCCAGCAATCAATCCCATAATCATCTGCTTCAATTTTAGTTAGTGTTACATAAAGTAATGTTCTTCCCAAAAATATAAGGTGTATAATGCATGAAATAAAGCACGATACAAACAAGAAAGACCAAGAATTGTACCTTTTTTCCTCTATAGAGAAGAGTCCCACTGTGTTCAACAGGTCATATGTTCTTGGATAAGTATCAAATGGCTCACACCTGTGACAGATTTGAAGATCTTACTAAAAGAGCCAAAAGAGGATTAATGAAAAATCTCACACATTGCAGTGCCTTGTGTGATAAGAGAAAATGGCTCAATAACAAAAAAAGCCGTTCTTGGACGATTTAATAACTATCTAGAGTTATGAACCACTATTTCATATTCCATGGCACAAGGCAGAGCATGATAAGCTTTAAAAACCAACATTCAAAAGATCTTCTCAAGTTATAGAATCTCGGTGGACTGAAATCAGTGAAAATTTTCAGATGCCTCGAGTCGACTTCAGGCACAAGTACCATTGATCTATAATGAGTTGATACAATGATGATGATTTAGTTTGAAAGACGGATTTAAAAATTATAATTAAGAGGTCTGAGCTATTCAACCACATGGAATTAGGAAAAGTGAATTTGTTCTCAACCAGAAGTCGAAAAAGTGCATTGCCCATACCTGTCATGCATAACTCCTACGAGCCCACAGTCATAAATAACAGGCAATGTATTGAAACCACTAACAAGAACAACATTCATAACCCAGCAATCAATCCCATAATCATGTATTGCTGCAGCAAACCTGCCATGAACAAAGTACCCATGATATAGGAATTCAAACAATCAAAATTAAAAAGCACTCTTCCAGATTTAGAGAAGGGTAAACATATATAAAGAGATGAAAAAGAAGAAGAAAAAGGAAGGCACCCTCAATATCCAGCCTTTATGTCCATCACGTTTCGTAGGTGTAAGTCTTTCCAATTGAAGGCATTAACATAACCATTTACAAGATCGTTTCAATATTTTGACTTTGCTCTGAATATTTCCTTTCGGGAATTGTAGGCATCCATTTTTATGGTAGGTAGCCTATCTGGTGGATAATGAAGGCGTGTGGGCCAGCTAGTAACATTAGCCCCATAACCATTCTCAGGTAACAGAGTGATACATGCCTTCAGACTGACATACCTGCAAGAATGCATCAATGTAGTTAGACGTTTGTGTCGAAATTGAAAAGATTTTGTTCATCACTAATTAGAAGATAAACTAAATTCATGGGTAAGACATTATCGACTTGAGGATATGGTGTAACAACTTGGACATAGGGTTTGAATAATCTGTTACAAGCTTGGAGCAATTCTAAGAATACTAGCAACAGGGAAGTAAATAATTCATATGGGATTGTTCCTTTAAATAGATATTTGATCTCTCTTTCCATGTGTTATTAGTGAATGAATGAAGATGTTTTAGGCTTTTAGTTGAAGAGGGAACATTCAGATTATTTAAACAAACACATACACTCTCTCTTCCCAATGTTAGTAAGGTATGATGGATAAAAAAGGAGAGGTCTTGTGTTGGTACTAAAATATTGAATTTGGCCTGTCGACAGAGGTGCTGACGTGGCTCAGATGAATTAATAAGTGATCTGACGTAAGGAACGTGCAAGGTGGACAAGTCCTTTGAAGTAGAGTTGTGTTTCAAGAGTGCAGCCAGAAGCATGTGGTCACAGAAGTGGAGAGCAGTTACAGCAAGTGAAGGATCTTTTCCAAATGGTGGAGAGAGCATGCTTCGTGTATCAAGGAATTAAGGAGGGAAATGTGGCTGCAGCAGTTGTGACCAGTGCAAAGGAACAAAAGTGGGAATTCAAAGTAAAGGATCTTCAAACCCATTCACAAACCTGTGATAACTAGGAGTAGCTTCTTTTAACTAGGAGTATCAATTAGCTTTTAATCAATCGGTTATCTTTGTATTCTTGTTATTTGTTCTTGTTTGAAAGCTTGTAACAAGTGACAATTTCAGTAATACACTATCAGTTTTAGTTTGTTTCAATCAATCGACATACTCCAAAGAAGTCGTTAAATCTATGAAGGCATAGAACTCAACCACATTGCTTGATCGTTTTTCTGTTTTTGTGGAATTTGGTTTTCCCTGTTGAATAATCTCTGTTAATTTACCCCAAACCAGAATTTTACTGATATGTAAATGTGTGAAAAATTCAAACCATACATTCGTCATTCCCTGAAGTGCATGCTGTCAGCATATTTTGTTCACAAATCCAATTAATTCTATCTGAACTAGAAATTTGGAGAATATAGTTCCTTGCAAACTCTGGGATTAAACAGGTTCCAAACGTAATTTATCATGCTAAATTCTCAAATAGCCAGTTGACTGATTTTGTAGAGCCATTAAATAAATGAAGTTTGTCTTTCTAACAGTTCTGTGCTATATTCAGGTCCAAATCAAGTCAGAGACATCACCAAAAGACATCCAAAAGTAATGGCACTTGGCTATTTGACCAAACCCCAATTTCTGCTACCCTAACCAAAATGAAATCTCATTGCACTTAGAAAAATCAATCTCTTTTCTTTATGTATCAACATCTCGGGATCAAAGGCTGATGAGTACATTTGATCATTCATGTGATCGATATGAATTTGATATGGATGCTTGATACAAAAATGTTGGTCTATATATAAAAATGCTCAAACAAATTATAAAGGTAGTTTCCATGTAACGTTGAAACTCAATAGGGGTAAAGTTGGACATACCAAACATTGTCTGGATCGTCATTGGCTTCACATATAGGAGGTTGTAATTGAGGATGCCGATTAACATAGCAGTTGTTGTTCAGAGGCTTCCTCCATATAGTAATGTACCTTTCCCTCTTTATAAGTTCCCAACAAATACGCCAAGAAAGGTTCTCCATTTCTGTGCACAATTAAGGTCAGGAATCAACAATGAAGAGATATGATACAAGGAAAGAAAAGAAGATGCAATGTCATACCATCATGCTAGAAACTGGAAAAACGAAAATATCACAAAAATGAGTAAAACACAGATACACACACGTCTATATAACTTTAGAATTACACAATATTTACAATAATAATAAAAATAACTAATAACCTTTCAACTGTATTTAAGAAGAAGTTCCACCCACCGTGAGCAGGATAGAATTCAATAGTTCCTGACCAATGTACTTTAGTAATTTTGACATGATTCCTTTTCTAGGTTTTAGTTTTTTTACAAGTTAGTTTGGACATGATGCTTACCTTTCCATTGTTCTTGCGAGTTATCTTCATGCTCATAAACAGATTGTGCTGCCCAAACAAAGTGTCCCCCTACCCTCAGCATCTTGTTGACCTCAAGAAGCAAAATTCCATCTTCACAACAACCAAACAAAAAAAGGACAATTAACATCAATAAGGCAGGAACACCATCCACCAAATATAAGACATGTTCATTACTCCAACAATTAGATCTCATAGTGCAGAGCAACACATCAGTGAAAAATAATTACTAAAACAGAGATGAAATCACTGAAACCAAATTTTCAAAACACTGATCCAAAACAGAGATAAATCATAAACAGAAAAACTAACCTCTGATCGAAGAAGACGAAGAGTCCCAAATCCACGGAGATAAATCACAGAGCTGTGCTCAAAATCGAACTTCAAAATCACAATCCCGAGATGAATCACCGACCTGTAGAAGAATCAAAGAAGAATCACTGAATAAAAGAGTGAAGAAGAATCGAGAGCCCTAAGGGCTTAAGACCTATATAGAGCCCTAAACAAAAGTATTCACTAAGCATTGATCCAAAACAGAGATAAATCACAAACAAAACAACTAACCTCTGATCAAAGAAGACAAAGAGTTCCAAATCCATGGAGATAAATCACGGAGTGTAGCACGCGCCCGCGGGGGACCCCCGCTACAGTTCGGACTCGATTTTGTGTCACGGTTTTTAATCTGAACCAAAGAGTCCAAATCTGGCAAATCATTTTGAGAAATAGATTTTTGAAAAGAAGTGCCAAACATGGACTGCTTTGCCAGATACAAAGTCGCCACCTAAATATTTTATTTTGAGAAATTTAGGAAACCTTGACTCGGTGCCAAAGGCCACGTGTCCGTTATCACCAAAGTTGCCTCGGCTTGGGAGCTAGGGTACGATTGGGGAAGGTCAGCTATGAGCACCCCCTCTCGCCCGATCCGAAGATCGGCCTCTACTAACCGTGATATCCGTTTTTGAAAACGTTATGTGTTCTTATCCCGATTATTAGCCTAGAATTACTATGTTATGCGCACAGCACAAAAGTATAGACTAGATTGCCTAATTTGGGAATACGCATTGCATATCCGTTTGTTTTGAAAAAATGTTTCGGAATTTGCTACTCGCAAGTAGGCTAAAACATGGATTTCAATGAGCTATTCCAACTCAGACAATCCAACCTTCACCCACAGGCATTCAAGCAGTTCATATCACATAAGCAGCTAGCCTCATGGTAATCATGCTATCATGGCAACACTCACACGCATGCAAGGATACTAAAGCATAAATGCTTACATCGAACTCCATGCCAAAACAAAAACTAGTTAGTAATCATATGCATGATCCTAGTTCATGTTAAGTACCTAATGCAACGCATATGGAATGTCACTAGAGTAGGCTCGGCTAGTCTATGAATGACATGTGGAAATACACAAGTAGCATGTATTCAAATTGGATTTGAAATGCTAATGCAGTTAGCATGATGCGCTGAGCCCGGTGCATGCAATACTGATGAATGATGCACGCATGCATAGCATAAGGTATGCTAAATTAAACATGACCTATTACTAACCGTCAAAGCAGGTAAGTAAAAGGGAGAAAGAAATGGGGTTTGGAAGACATGCACACACTCACCCACACTTATTACAAATTTATCCTCGCTCGGAGGGACCAAAAGAATAGTACAAATTAACTAACTCACAAGCTAATTAATTATTACAAATTACCTAATTAATTAACAAATTAACTAAGCTTAGAAAAGCAAGGGAAGGGTCCTTGGGAAGAGGGCTCAATGCACGCGTGCTCGGGTCTTGCTCGGAAGTCCATTGCCATGCGCAAGCTGCCTCTGTTTTCCCTGCTCTGCCACTCTGAAAACTTCCAAAGTCTCAGAATTGCTTCCCTGGACATTGGGAGACACCACCGGCTAGAGGGAATTATCATCGGCTGTGATTTGGTGGTCATCGGCCACAAATGAAGCTATCGACCACTAATGGATTGCCGGTCGGCACTCTGTTCAGTCGATCTGCAAAAAGTTCCTGCAGAATCTGTTTGACAGCAACAGAGGACAGAGCTTTGCATGGCAATGCAATTCAAGCAATGTATGCACCAATCCTATCCCTTATCATGTGTATGACTCAAAGGGACATGGTCCTTGGTTCTCGGACCATCAATCGCGCATTTCAATGCGTGATGGCCCAAGAGATCAAGTTGCGCATTTTCATGTCATACGAAATGCAAACCAAATGAGCACATAAAGGCCCAACCTCTATCACTTGACTTCGAGAGGTAAGGCATGCATGTTCAATGCAATGCAACCTAAGCATGTTAGCTAATATGCAACATGGCATGAAAGAGAGCATACAAACATGCAATGCACATTAGGTACACAAACTAAGCAAAGGTACACAAACTAAGCAACAAAGCAAACAAGCATGCCACAATTATGCAAACCATTAGAGCATGCGAGATGTAATCCAATCACGCAACATACTAGCAACTTGACTAATGGAATGCAAGGCGAATGCAAGTAATTTCAAGCATGTAACATGTGCAACCAAAGCATGCAAACATGGGATGATGTAACAACACTTGAATGGCATGCAAGGGATGGACTTACACTAATTGGACAGCTCTAAGTGAGGTCCAAAACAGTGGCCAAAAGCTTAAGAAAATGGGACCAAACACACATACACACATGCACATGTTAAGGCCTAACGCTTAAGCATCAAATGACAACTTTTAAGCACACTTAAAAGGGAATAATCATGGACATATGGCATGCATTATAAGCCTTGAAAATCATGCTATAAGAGGTGCCAAACCAACTTAAACAAGACGAACATTAGCATGCAAATGGTCCAAACATTTAAAGCAAGTCAAAGGGAACTTAAACCATGGCTAAGCCAACCAAGCCTCACAAGGCTAAGAAGGCTTAAAACGGGTCCAAGGCAGACCTAGACCATGCAAAGGGACCTCCTAGATGGCATCTAAGTGGCTCAAATTCAAAAGCATGCACAAAGGCCAAAACATGGAGCATACAACATAAGCTTTCAAAGCATTAAAGAGGTGTCCAAGGCAAGCATACAAGCATATCAAAGGGACTGAAATAACATGGAAAATGATCCCAACCCACTAAATTGAAGCAAGTGATGCATGCAACACACTCATACACTTAAGGCCAACAAACCAAAAATGCAAAGGGGCTATATAATGCATGCCATGGTCGACCAAAATGGCTAAGGACAGACCTTAAACATGGTGAAATAAGCATGAAAGCTTCACAAAGCTAAGCCTAAAGCATGCTAGAATAATGGTTTACAACCCAAGGCATGTTAAGGCAACAAAATGGCATTACAAGGCATGTATGCTAAGCAAGCATGATGTACCAAAACCAACTAAAAATAGAGGCATATTATGACATAATAAGCACAAAAATCAGCTAAGGCATGGTTAACATGAGCCTAAACATGGTGCTCCCTTAAGAGGCCAAAAATAGTCCTTTTCAAGGACAACAAGGAGAGGGCCAAGGCACCATCCTTACCACTGAAATCCCTCAAGATTTCAGTGGTGAGGAGGCCCAAACACCAAAGTCCCGGAGCTCACTCAAAATAGCACAAAATGGGGCCTCTCAAGGCCTAAGAGGGGACAAACGACTTCAAATCACAAAACACTCTAAACAAACTTTTTAGAGGGCCTAAAAACAGAACTTTTTTATGTTATACACTAAACACAAAAATAGTTGTAAGGTAAGCAAAAAAGCTATGCAAGAAAGGGGTAAAAAGGGGCAAAGTTGTTACCCTTGAAGACTTTCTTCACAAATGAAGCTCCAGCAGCTTCTTTAGCTCCAAACCAGCTCCAAAAACTCCAAGAACACTCCTTTGGCCCTCAATAACCAAGAAAAGGTGTAGTAGTGTGTGTTTGTGTACAATACTATGAACAAACACACCTAGAACACTCAAGAAAGAGAGGTATAGAGATAGAATATATATATATTCCTAACCCTAATATCAGAGCTCCCTAACTATCTTTTCTAAACCTAAATCCAAGAGAGGAGACTCTCTCTTATAGAACTCTCTCTTGTAAAGCTTGTCAAATAAGCTTGTCAAGAGAGAAATCCCTCCATGCACGTGTATGGAGGAGAACAGAGTGGGTGACAGCTGGCACAAAATATCTACCAAAAGTAGATGAACAGTGATCGGCCATTCAAAATTGCCATTTTGGCAAAATAAATGGCCGACCGGAAACAAAGAGTGCCGACCGGCAATATACATTGCCGATGGCACAAAATCACTGGCCGGTGGCCTCAAGCCATGGCCGGTGATGTGTGGGGATGCCTCACAAGGCATTCCCTGACCCTCCAAGGCAAAACACAAGTGTTCGGTGCAAAACCAGACACAACACGGTCGAGTCGAGAAATCCTGAGGCAAGGCGCGCAACCGAGACCTCCAGGAACTCAAGACGAACACAAACAAAAGTAATCACCAAGTGCTCCAATGGTGACGTCCAAGTCTTGAGGACGGTCAAAAATGGGGTGTCTACACGGAGCTATGCTCATAATCGAACTTCGAAATCACAATCCCGAGATGAATCACTGAACTAAAGAAGAATCGATCCTCTGAGAGAGAGATTTGGAGAAACAGATTCAATTATCTGCGACAAAGAGAGAGCAAGAGAGTGAGTGAGACAGGATTCGATCATCTAGACGGCGGTGCTCAAGATAGGGTTTTCAAAATAAAGGTTTGGAGAGACAGAAGTGGGTGTGAAGAGAGACCGGATTTGAAGGCGTTTTTCAAACGTCTTCCACTCACAAAACAGTACCGTTTTAAGTTATAACAAATGTGACGTTTAAAAAACGCCGTTAATTGTTAAAAAAAGTGATGTTTACTCAAACGCTGTTAAATAAACGCCGTTAAATCCCTAATTTCCTGTAGTGATATGAACAAATATTCCTAATAGGTTATGAGAATATATTGTATATATGGCATATTGTGTATATATGGCATGGTTGTGTAAATAGGAATTAGAATTAGCTTGTATTTCCTCTTTCAGTCGTTTCCTTTTTCAATCATAGATTTAGGGCTATATATACACTGATGTACTCTTTGTAATTAATACAATTGAATATACAGAATTATTCAGAAACTTACATGGTATCAAAGCTTTGTTCGAAAACCTAGCACCACTGTCTTCGTCTTTGGTCTTCACATCGTGATTAAAGGTTGCGATCAGTCTCCACAAAACCCTAGCACCGTTACCTCTCTGATTAAGTTGTCGTCTCTCTCTCTCTGATCAAGCTGTCATCTCTCTCTCAGCCATCACACTTTGGTCGTTGCTTCTGATTTCTAGTGTCGTCGTTAGTCTCACAGTTGAGCTCTCTGTTCGTGATTGTTAGGTGGCTGCCAGAATCACAACTCGTTATCATCCGTGACCTCT